ATTATTAAAATTATGAACCCTCAATTAATTTCTGTTTTTGATAATCTCTTATAATGTCTGTGATTCCTCTCCCTTATCGTCTCATCACTCTATTATGATGTTTGTTTTACTTTTCAAATATCCAAGATTTAGCAAGCAAGAGACAAGGGATTTTTACTGCTTCATGATTCAAATAACAATGTAAGTTAATCTCATCTCTTATGCACTCTTCCTTAAAACTCTTTAATGGTGTTTTTTTAAGAAACAATTTCCTATACTAAAAAAAACTTAAACAACACGAATATCAAAAAATACTTAGATGCCCTTACTCACATCCTTATGTTTTTTATCTTCAATGTTAGTGTGGGCTTTGTATTTCTTTGTTCTATTTTCCAAGCATCTGCTACAACACTATTCAGGTATCAAAAACGGGCCTAATGGAGATGAAAGTCGCTTGACATGGAGATTTATTTATACAAATAATCCTTGATGCCCTATAATAAAGAAAAATTGGTGATAGCAACTACCTTCGTTACCTTTAATGGTGGTTTCTTTAATGCCAAATTCACTATGGCATGATTTTGTAATAATAGATCAACTTTAAGACACCGTTTTTTTTTTACTTTGCTCTTTAGCTTAAGTTGTTTCTTTATTACAACTGAGACTATTTAAGATATATTCTCATACCACAGTATTTGAGTAATTCATCAAGAAAAAGTTTTCTTCTTTTCCTCACCTCAACCCGGCTTTCGTCAAAACTCTTAAGAGTAACACTCTTATTTTTAGAGAACCTTTAATTTAGTCCTCTTATATTTAAAATTACTTGGGAATATATAAACTTAAATAATCATTTCATAAAAAACACATGAACTAAATGGCAAAAATTGACATCCCAGGAGCAAACTAAAAATATTGCGTTTTGGCTATTACTTCTAAATTCTGTGAACATCAATTATAATTCTTAATTCTTGAATTGCATTTGCAAAAGAAAATCGACTACCCAAAGAAAACTTAATTTGCATAATAGACAATAACTAATTTTCATGGAACAAACACGTGCATACATCCCGAGCCCGTGCGAAGCACGGGGTAAACAACTAGTCCTATATGTAAAAGAGCGTTCAATTGTTGTAGTGTTGACATGTGGCATGCCACATGTGCATCCACATGTGCACTCACTAATGATGTGGATTTATGCATTTCAATTTATTGGTCCATTTTGATTTTTTTAAAAGATCTTTGAATAAATTTGCATAAAACTTTTCCATTTTTTAATAATTCTATAAAATATATTTCATCGTTGTAAAATATACTCCATAGTGTGTCTGTGTGTCTATATATATATATATATATATATATATATATATATATATATATATATATATATATATATATATATATATATATATATATATATATTCAACCAGTTTAAAATATATTTTGTCACTATTAAAAAACTAAAACAACTAAAATTATATTTATACAATATCAGAAATTTAGAATATATACGAGCCCGTGCGAAGCACGGGGTTAACACTAGTAAAGGAATATAATGTGGAGCATAAAAGTAGGTATGTTATGGTAGATATAAAAGAGGGTAATAAGATATCCATTTTATGTTTGCACTATATTTTTATATTTATGAATATATGTTATGTTATGATTTCGATATACTGTATTTTTTATTTTCTAATTTCATACCATTCAATTTTGACCTCGTCCAATTCTTAACATATACGGAGTACTCTGTTTTATTCTCAAAACTCTCACAATGATTTTACGTCCTAAATTAAGTTATATGGTAATTATTTATGACATTTTATTCTCTTTCTTTCTCTATATTTGTTACTCATTTTATAAAATAATAGTCATATCACATCTAGTTTGTAAATTTTTTAATGTAAATTTAAGTATGTAATATTTTTTTGAATTTTACACCATTTTTATATAAAATAATTTAAAAATAACTTTAGTAAAAAATCATAAACCAAAATGGGAAAAATGAAAAAGAGATCCAGACAAATAGAAAAGACCAAAAAAACTAAAAAGACATATATCAGAAAAAATTTGAAAAAAATTAAAAAAGAGTTATTCAAGGAAAATATTTGAAAACAAAAAAACACTTAAGGAGAAAGTCAAAATTAAACAAAAAGATGGGGCTCAAGAAGGGGTGTGGGGTTAAACAAGCACAAAGGGGTAGGTTGTTGTGACTTGTGAGTGGAGGTTTTAATGAAGAAAAATAAGAAAAAAAATGGGTGAAAGAAGGTAGACGAAGAAAAGTCAAAAGAAGGGGTGAAACTTGAGAGAAGAAAGAAGAAGATGAAAAAGAAGGGAGTGGGAAGGGAGAGAAGAAGGAAAAAGGGTAAATTTCACCAATGGTAACTGAATTTTAGCTGGAATTTCGAAGTGGTACTTAAACTTCAAATCCTTTCAAAAAAATCCCTGAACTTACATAATCCTTTCACTAATAGTCTATTTACCCGTTTCTAGGTTAACTTCCGGTCATTTGGGCTAAATTAGAATTTTATATATTTTAAAATTTTCAATTTAACCACATTTCTTCTTTTCTTTTCTTCCGCGCACCGCCGCCGGTCAAAGTCGACGGAAAATGAACTTGGTCTGATTCCGGCAGGACCAACGACATTCTCTTCGTCTTGAGACGAGGATCAAGAATATTCAAACCATTTAGTCCAATTTGGCCTGTAACTCCTCGGATCTGAATTTTTCTACCCGAAAAAACCCAAAAATTTGAAATTGGGTCCAAAATTGGGGGTTTTGCAAATCGTCATCAAATCTTGCAATTGAGGGGTCCTTGGAGGTCTCTGTGATGCCACGAACACATTGGAGTGGATGACTGGCGTCAATTTCGCCGGATTTAGCCGGAAAACGCTCCGACCCGCTGGGGGTTTCCTGCGGGTCGGAGCGGTTGATGCCGGCCATCCACTCCAATGTGTTCGTGGCATCACGGTGACCTCCAAGGACCCCTCAATTACAAGATTTGATGACGATTTACAAAACCCCTAATTTTGGACCCAATTTCAAATTTTTGGGTTATTTCGGGTGGAAAAATTCAGATCCGAGGAGTTACAGGCCAAATTGGACAAAATAGTTTGGATATTCTTGATCCTCGTCTCAAGACGGAGAGAATGGCGTTGGTCCCGCCAGAATCGAACCAAGTTCATTTTCCGGCGACTTTAACCGCGGCGGGGCGCGGAAGAAAAGAAAAGAAGAAATGGGGTCAAATTGAAAATTTTAAAATATATAAAATTCTAACCTAGAAACGGGTAAATGGACTATTAGTGAAAGGATTGTGTAAGTTCAGGGATTTTTTTGAAAGGATTTGAAGTTTAAGTACCACTTCGAAATTCCAGCTAAAGTTCAGGTACCATTGGTGAAATTTACCCGTCAAATTGAAGATTTTAAAATATACTCCGTATATAATTGTAATTTGGCCTAAATGACTTGATGATTACCTGAAAACCGACTCCAAGTACCATTTGTAAAAAAATATTTCAAAGTGTAGCTATTTTTGTGAAAAAAATTGAAGTCTAGGTATGAAAAATAAAAAAATAGCTGAAAATTCAAGTACCATACATGAAATTTACCGGAGAAGGGAGGGCAAATGAAGTGTTGCATATTTCTATATCCATTTTGATCCGGTATCCAAGCGATGAGAGAAAAAAAATAAAAGTGTTAAATTTAAATGAATAAAGATCTACATTTACATTTTGTGTCAATGTAAGTATGAGATTGATCACACAAGAAAGTCCAAGGAAAATTCAAGCCATTACCAAATTCGTATCTATTTTTTTTGTCGGATATCAAATTCGAAAACAGATATTGATGGATATTGAAAATAAAAATCGTATCCGCATCTGTTGGATATCAGTCGACTATCAAATATATCCACATCTATTTTCAATTTTAAAACTAAATTAAATAATACTTTAATTTTTAATTAAACTAAATCAAAATATTATTAAATCAACTACTCCCTCCGTCCCATAAAGTGTTACCCATTTTGACTAAAGTTAAAATTAAGGGAGGGATAATTTTGTGTTGACTTTCCAAAAATACCCTTGATGTGATGGGTAAAAGTAGGATGTGATGTGTAGATTATTAGGAAAAAAGTATGATGTGATAGGTAGGGTTTGAAAAAGTAAGGGGTAAAAGTGGTTTTTTAATAGAAATGGGTAGGAGATTATAGGACGCAATTTTTTTGAAACGTGTAAATCTTTTTGGGACGGAGGGAGTATAATTTTTTATGGGATGATTATTTTCTTATTTTTTTTTATAATTTATGATATTCTACGAAGATTTCATATCACAAAAAGGTATACACAATACATATATACACATATTTTTATGTGTCTACATATATTTTGTATATAAAAATATCTTATACTTTGAGATATGGATAGAGAAACAAAATATAAAAATAAATAATTAAAAAAAACTATATATAACGAAAAAGATCCATGGATAAACGTTTATTTAAACGGATGTCAATGCGAAGCGGATTATAAACGGACTGGATGTATGATTACCAAATCTGTATCCGTTTAGGAATCAGATACCGATAATAACTGTTTTTAACGAATTCAGATATTTTTCATATAAAAGAATACAAATGCGAACAGTAATCGAATTTTCGTGTATCCATTTACAGCCCTAGTACAAACTCAACGTCAGTAATTCAACGCATTATACCAAACTCAAATTCAAATCGCAATAAATTTCTTTTACTATTTACTTTAATCATAATTCTTAAAAAGTTTTTAAATTAAAAAAATACATTAAGCTTTAAAAAGGATATATTTACACACACACAAAAAAACCTACTCCCCAACTTGTAGTGAACAAAAAAATTGCAGAAGCTAGAGTGAAAACACATACATTCCTTTAAAGTAAGGAGAGAGAGTGTTTGTAAACCCAAATTAGGTTTGTGAATGAAGTAGGATTAAGAAATGAGAGTGTCTATACCATACATCCAGATGTACAGCGTTTTCTATACATATGCATTAATGAATACTCATTTTTTAGTAAGTGAATAATCATTTTCAAGTATAACTAAATTTTAGAGAAAATAAAAATTCAGTTTCTAAAAAATGAGTATTCAATTGTTTGAAAATGAATATTCAGTTACTCATAAATGAATACTCACAATGGATGTACATGAAACATCATACAAGTGATTGGTATTATATTGCATAGGAGATGGAGGGCACCAAATACTGATATAGGATTCGAGTGGAGATAGAATGATGCATTCACCAATCCCATCTTTCCTTCAAGTTCTATCAAATTGTTTCACCTTGTTATTGACGCATTATATTATAAATACTGGTCTCCCTCGGAATAATAATCCCCGCCATCATTTCCATCTCTCAAGTTGTATTCAACCACAAGACCAAGATTGTCCGCCAATTTATGATACTTTGAGCACCCTGAACACTGTCACGAAAACATTTCCGGCGAAAATGGAGAATGCATTGTGATGGATCAAAGAGATATAGAAATTGAGATAATATGATCGTTTTCGCACTCAACTTACCTGAACATAGACAAGTCCTCTTTCATAAGCTAAACGGTTTATGAACCTTTGAGATCGAGCGCCACAGGCGTTGCAGGTGAAAGTAGCCAAAAGACTTCTCCTTGGAAGCTTCAAGTCAATGTCTGTTTCCTGCTACAAACAAGAAAGATTTGCCTTGTTAGCCACCTAGAAAAGATTTCCATTAGTTTCTTTCGTATCCACTTCAAAAAAAAAAGATTTCCTTCCTTCTTCCCAAAGTCAATGTGGAAAAGAACTTCTGCCCCCATTTTCCGTGTTTGGAACCAAAGTCAATGGAAAATAAATCAAGAATTTCCAATGTACAATCATGTACCGTGGAAGAATCAGACGACCCTGATTCTGAGAAACTTCTAGTTCCTTCTTCCACAGAACAATAAGATATAGGAAAACGATTTTTTCTTGCTTTCCAATGTTTGTGAGAAATCCTCAACCTGTAAGGCATAACTAGACAATCACAGAATAGAGATACAAAAAACTCAATTCTTTGTAGTTTCATTAATGGACTGAAAGAAAGAATAGCATCCCTATTGTATATACTCCGGGACACAATTTTTATTTTTTGGAATTCACGATAAACACAAACACTTTGTCCCAAAATAGACGTCATTGTCTACCATTCACGGGACAAACTTTATTCTCTTTTTTTGCATATTTTCATTACTCTTTTGACAAGATAATAGTCATATCACCTCTTCTTTTACAGATTTTTTAATGTGGTACTTTGATATACTTTATTTTTAAAATCTACTCCAATATTTGAATAAACTGAATTGAAATTTATTTCAATCAAATTTTGCTAACCGTAGAGTCACAAATATTTTGGGACAAAGAAAGTATTAAAGTTGGTGATGGGGGCTAACCTGGGAAGTTCAGGATTGTGATGGCATGGAAGGGAATGAATGGGTAAATGGGATTTTGGCTTGGAAGATGTGAATGGAATCATAAGAATGGGATTGTGGAGGGGGCTAACTCTGCAAGCAGCCATGACAATTCAGTACAGAGGAACAAGTTAGAGCTTGTGTGGCTTCACAATCTTTCTCTAAGGGCGTGTTTCTAACTTCGATTCTTCAGAACTGAACCCGAGACCACACATGTCCAGCAAAAAATGATATGTCAACCTGTTAAAAATTGCATACATTTTGTATAGCATGTTTATAACATGATGCTCAAAATATATTTCAGATCAAAATATAACCCAAACCTTAAATTGGAATATGCTTGTATAAACTTCAAATCTTAAGCCACATTAGGTTCAAGTAAAACTAACTAGGCTCAGTTTGTTCTTTAAGAATTTTCTGTCCATAAATGACCAAACTTGTAGACACTAGTACTAGGGATGACAATGGAAAGATTTGAGATTCGCTAGAACTCAGATCCATATTATCTTTCTATCCTTGGACCTATGGTCTACCATATCTAATGAGTCTCCAGACGATGGAATCATGCTCATAAGACTTGATACAAAATGTCAAAATGCATCTAGCACGTAAAATCAACTAATGGATGATGGAATTCCATCTAACCCAATAATATTCAATAATACATGAAGGCACAATCCAATCAAGCCCGAAACACAAATCAAATACCGTAATAAATTATAGCCGAGATATATGGGTAAATAAAGATATTTGATGAGATACATAAATATTGAGATATATGGGCCCAAATCATATTCTTTGTCTGCTACAAGATATTATATACACATCACTTCAAATATTTAGCGGGATCCAAGGATATTCTTTTATCCTCGTTTCTCACTTATAAAACGAAGCAAAAGAAAGAACATTGGAGGGAGGGGATTTTGGGGAGAAACTACACTACACTACTGCAACTACATTTAAATATAGAATGGCCATTTTCTTCATAGCTCAAGAGTCTCATAAAAGAGTAAATTCTACATCCAGAAGTTTCAACTTCAAAGAAAGTAATGATCCTTCCATCCCATAGTGTTATCTCATCCCACGTCAGTACTCTACACCTATTATGGTGTTTCACATAGAAAGAGCCAAATTTCACAAATGTACACTCTCTAATTTTAATAAGGTGGACCTAGTAAAATCATAAATATAGCAAAAGTCATTATCCTTTCGTCCCATAGTGTTGAGTTATCTCATCCCACGTCAGCACTCTACACCTATTATGGTGTTTCACATAGAAAGAGTCTCATTTCACAGATGTACACTTTCTAATTTTAATAAGGTGGACCTAGTAAAACCATAAATATCGCAATGTTTCCGATTTTTATGGTTGGTTTATAGCTTCTTTATCTAATTTGAAACACCGGATATAATGAAAATTAACATCTCTTCTTTCAAATTTGACTCTTTCTCTAGGACAAAAGTATGGCGAAGAATATGGCCTTTTTATGGTACCGATTACCGAAGGAGTAACTTATTTAAAAGTAAAAAAGGAAATTTTTCCCATCTTGTAAAACTAAGTAAACACAATGTTTGTACTGTGTAGTCCCTTGGTGGAATGGATGAAGGACCATCTTATCCTCCAAGAAAGCATGGGTTTGGGATTTTATGGGAATTTTGAAAGGGAGTAGTTTAGGCTATGAGGGTTAAAGTGGCTTTACGAACACCGAGTTTAACATGTCTCACCTCTAGGGAGGGTTGTAGCCGGTCTTAGTTCAGGTTGTAATTCTGAATAAAGAAATGTGTAAAATGAACCCCAGAATGCAATTCCCCCTTTCCTGAAACACACTTATATGGATGAACTTTAGCACACACATTTTCATGACTGTGAGTTGTAATCAAATAATTGTGTCATTTTATAAATATCACTATCTGCTATGCGGTTTCAAGAACATTAAGAAGCAAATAAATCGGACGAAAGATGGCATTTATATTCAATGACTGCTGTTATACAATGAATAAGGGAGCGAGCTCAAATTCTGCACCTGGAGACAGATACTGTTGTTCAAGACGAAGAAGATAAGAGTCTTGAAAATGGTAAATCGAAGATGGCAAATGAAATCGCTAGGAAAAGAAAACATCGTGCTCATAAACACCAGCAAAAACAAAACTCTAATCCATAGTAATCACCTGTAATCGGAAGTAGACGGCGGCGACAGGCAGGACAGGCATGAGGCGATGAAATACTGGCAGTAGACACTAGACACCACTCAAAGATTTAACAGCTCGGTTCAAATGAGTCGGAGTCCAAAAGTTCGGAGTTACAAGGAGGGAGCATTGGTATGGTTAGCTGTTGGTTTAGGTTATAACCAAATTTTGTAAAAATTAACAAATAATTTTGATTCAATATGTGAGTTGTATTCGAAATTAATGATTCGTATTTAAAAAATTGAATGTGAATGAGTTATAAGAATATATATATTTATTAAAATTTGAAAGAAAATGAATACAAATACAGATGAAAATGTGTTTGATTCGATATGTTAACGAATTTATTCGAATTTAAATAAAAACACTTATACCTGATATATTTATTTCATAATAAGACTGATTTCTTATGTGTGTTACTCTATACTTGTGTTTGTATGCGTGTGGAGCCAGTCAACGAGGTCCTGTATTCCTAATTTAGATATCTGGCGTCTGTTTGATCAAGGTGTTGGACAGTAAGGATTGGGAAAAAAGATGAGCCACATCTCTAAGGGTCTCCTCAGACTTGACCGGACGGCCACTGAGAGAAGGTAAATTGGATTTTAATCGTTGATTGGTTGCATTGAGTGGAGCCTGCACCTGGTAGCCCGCACTCGTACTTGCAAATGCATTATGCTTAGCATAGTTGTCTCCAGTACAGTTGTTAAAAATTAAACTCAGGTCTTCTCTTTGGCACTCACTTCCTTTACCAAATGTACAACGCTCACTTACAGGGCAGTAAAGATTGGAGATTTAACTTTTTGCATCAATGATATACCAATTTGGTTCCAGTATAAATCAAAATGAATATGTATATATATACTTCATATTTAAAAATGTATCTAAATTCTTTGATTTTTTAAACATTATTGAAAATGCATTAAATAAAGAAATACAAAGTCTGTCAACAACAATATGACCACGATGCATCAAAAGCTCCCGCCCATTACGGGGTAAGGAGAGGAGGAGATCGAATGTACTCAGTGTGACCACTACACAGAGAGTCAAATATAAAACCTGAAAAAATAAATAATTGAAATGTAAAAGTAGTTATGAAAGCTAATTTATACGAAATATTTTAAAACCTAATTAAAACAAAAAATAACATAATACATGTGTTTTTAATTTATCAAAATATTTAAACTCAAAAATAGCACAACTCAAGCATAATAAATCTTGAAATAAATTTTCAAAATAAACGTATTACTTCTCAAATGATTATAAAAAAGTTATATATTTAATTTGTAACATATTACTCTCTAATATACATGTTTGGTTCAAGATTTTTATACTGTATGAGAAATTACTTCGCATCGAAATTGTTCCATTCGAGTTTAATTCGATTTTTTATGTTTTTTTATTCGGTGTTTTTTATTTGAGTTTTGTGACTTTTTCGAAAAGTTTCAAAATCAGTTTGGTACTCTTTTTGCTCTCATTCTTCACACCCTAGTTCCCTTTATTTTCATTTCCAAAAAGCTGGAATGCTACTATGTTAAGTGTGGTGATAGTCACATTCTACCCAGACACTAACTTTACACCACACATTAAATTCACTATATTAGTTTTAAAATTATTTTTTATACTAAGGTTAAATGTCATTTAAATCAAAGTGTAAAATTAGAATAAATAATTTTACATTATAATTTTGAACATATTTTTTTATCAAAAGTGTTCAGGAGGAGGTGATTGTAACCCGCCGAAACCCTTGCTAAACCCTCTCTCACCGTCGGTCTCCGTCGCAACCTACTCAGGCGCAGCACAGTAAGGTCTCTCAGGCCACCGCAAATGCCGTCCATTCAGTCCTACGGCGACTTCGTCAAATCTCACGGCGTACTATTAGTGCCCTCCGGATTACCGCCTAAACTCCACCCCCTGCTCTTCCAGAAGCTCGCGGAGGAGACGTTCGACGGCGGCCAACACTTCCAGATAGAGCCTGTGGAGGATGGAAAGCAAAGGCGTCTGCTCTTCACTTCTGATTTCATGGCTAAGGAGTCTAATCTGTTTCTCGTTGACCACGCTTGGACATTTCGCCTTGCTGATGCCTATAAGCAGGTATCTGGAATTTGGTACTCATTGGACTCTCAGATGTATGCGTTTATCATCCTCGCACAAATGGAGCTAAATGAGTTGTTTTTAGGATGTTTTAGTTTTAGATAAATAATACAAAGTAGACTATAAAATAGATAAAAATGATACACACTCTTTTGCTTCTCACTTTCCATGGAGTTTTGGGCAGTAATCTTAGCAATGCATCACGGGTCTAATGGCAACAACATCTCTGTTTTTTTACAGAGTTAAGGTCTAGACCGAAACAAAGTTGAGAGTAATGAGTTTGTTGTTGCACACATGTATGTGTTAGGCTCATTTTTTATATTTGGTTTCCATTGTTTCAAAAATAGAAGAAATGGAGAACACTTGCAAATAAGTTCTTGTTCTTTACGACTTTTAAGTACATTTTTTCTTTCTTTACTCTGGCTTATAGATGCTAGGTTCCAAAATCCATTGTCCAGATTTTAGTTGGATTAAAACAGTATTAGACATTGGATTTCAGCTTCCACACTCCAAGATTCCAAACCACAGTATCCAAGATTCAGATTTTAGACTCCTTAAAATTAAGGCAAAAACAACATGACCTAATAAGTTTATGAATACTATCAAATAGTTGCATACTAATATTACTGGACTAGCTTCATGTGCTCGAGTTGTTGAACTGTATTGAAAATCCATCAAAAATGAAATTTTGGGGTAGGATTTGGATATATTTGAAATAATAATATCATAATAGTATACTGAATCGAAGCGTCCAAGCTCTGTCAATTACAGTAAAGATGGTCTAGACATGTTTAACCAAGAAAGTCGGAACACATGCCAGTGAGACATTAGGACTTTCAACTTTGCCTAGAAACACAAATCTGAAATTGGGTTTGAGGATAAGTTGAGATATTGTCTTGTTTGCATGTGATGTGTATTATATATTCACACCTTGTAGTTCTGGTTATTTTTGCACATTTACAGTTACAGGAAGTTCCTGGGCTTGCAGAACGGATGGCTGCATTAATGTGTTTGGATACGGATTTCTCAGACACATATGAGGGAGGTGACATATGTGGAATTGGAGGTGAAGATAACACTAAATTGAGTGCAGAGGAGATAGTGGCAAGAGAAGTCATTAAGGCCACGAAAGGAGGTGATGCTGCAAGGTGGTTGGAGCTTGACGAGCTTGGCATTGATGATGCTATGCTTTCTTCTCTTGACTTGCCTCATAAATTTCCTGTATGTTATTCACTTCCTACTACCTAATAGGCTATCTTAGCTTTTGGTCTGAGTTCGTATTGTTTTTTGCCACATATGTCATAACTATTGTTCTCTATACCAGGATTTGATTGCACTAAGCTTATGTGATAACAATCTCAAGAATATTGATGTTCTTGTAAATGAGATCACCCAACTCAAAAATCTCAGAGCTCTATGGCTGAACAATAATCCAATTCTGGAGAATGAGTAAGTTCATGATTTCTTCTTGCTCTACTTGTTTCATAAGTCATGAATAACAGCGTCTAACAAAAGTTTTGCTTTTCCAGTGATGGTTGTCTGGTAGAAGCCATTCTTCATGGTTGCCCTAGATTGGAAATTTACAGTTCTCACTTCACACCACATTTTGGTGAGTGGGCATTAGGTTTTTGTGGAGAAATATACAATAAAAACAATCCATGTTGTACATACCAAGGTGATCGCCCATTGCTGTCTGTGGAATCTCTTGACCTATCTAATAGATCCATTAACAACATATTCAGTGAGGTGAGTGCCTTCCAACCTGTCTTGCTTATGTTGTTAAAAGCTTGAAGGATAATAACCACTATTCACGGAGAGAGAATGAAATACAAATGAGTGGTTTTAGATTTTTATCCATACTTCTATTGTCTATCTGGCCTATATTTTAGTTCCATCTCATTTTCTTTATCATTTTTTTTATCAAGGCATTTTGTCCCACCGAGCTTCCATCTCTCACACATTTGAACATTCGTGGAAATCCATTGGACCAAAACACCGCAAGTGATTTATTGGAACTCCTTAACCAATTCAGCTGTTTGCATTCTTTGGAGGTATCTTCAAGAAACTCAACTCTTAGAGCTTAAAACATGATAAGGTCTAATAAGAAGTTGATCAGGTGGATATACCTGGACCTCTAGGAGAAAATGCTGTTAGAATTGTTGAAGAACTGCCAAATCTAACTGTCCTCAATGGTGTTAACACATCCAAAATCTGTGAGTCAGGAAGGTCTGTGCTTGATTCAATGTTGCGGCCACGCCTTCCTGAATGGACGGCTGGAGAACCTATTATTGATCGCATCATAAATGCAATGTGGTTATATTTAATGACTTATAGACTTGCGGACGAAGAAAAAATTGATGAAACCTCAGTATGGTATGCAGTTTGATTTGATAAAATTTTCCTGATTCCAGTTTTTAATGTTGTCTTTAACTGAATTCATCTTCCATAATGATGTTTTTGTTAGCAACTTTAATTTGCATGAACTTCCTATTACTTAATTGTTTGAGCTACGTAATCCTTGGGATATGTATTCAGATAAAATTGATGTATGTTTTTGTGTGCACATAGGTATGTAATGGATGAATTGGGTTCATCTTTACGACATAGTGATGAACCAAATTTTAGAGTGTCTCCATTCCTCTACATGCCAGATGGTGAATTGGGATCCGCCATGAGGTTCTCTTCTCGAACTGTCTGTTCATTACTTGATAATATGTTTTCATTATTCGCTGACATCTAGCTATACCTTGGACCTTAAATTACTGACAGCATTGAGTGTTTGCAACTTCAAAATCATTATTCTTTTTCTTCATATAGTTTTGGAAATTTGAGACCATCATTTTACTACTTAGTAGTAAATAGATTAGGAAAAGAATAAACCATTCTGGTATTCAAACGTGGAGTTCATCATTATGCAGAAAACTTCCCACTACGCCAAACACTACACATGACTTCATCATTCCATGAATGGCATATTCCTTCATAGGTGGTTAATCACCGTTGTGCACTTATGCCATATGTAGAAATACTATAGCGCCTCCCTCTG